ATAATAGTATCTTGTTTCCCGTATGGCGTTCCATCTCTCTCAGTTGATTTTTCATTCAACTTAACCAAACCAAAGGGTATCGCTTTTCATCTGCATAAAGGCATATTTTTTTTTGGTCGTCGTGTTACAACAAAAATCGTAAATGATATTATGTTTTCTATCTTCGCTAAATAAATGAGACGCCCAGTTGCAAAACCCGCCTTATACATCTTTTGAAAAAATGGCCTAATGACATATATTAATAGCATATTAATAGTGGACCCTCAAATCTACATAAACATAGTCCTAAACTGCAGCAAAAGTCACCTATATTCCTGTATAAAATTCACTACAAATTACGTTACTGCAGCAAAATCCGTCTTATCCACTTATTGTTTTTTGCAATCAAATTGAAAGCCAAATATCTTGCTGTAGCAAAACTCGCAATATGCATCGTACTGCAACAAAACCAGCCCTATCCGAATTATTTTTGTGTTTTTTCTCTTTGAAAATTAAATATTAATTTGCCAAAAAAAATTACAAGATATGTTTTATGCGAGGGTTGTAAGAACAAAAACTGTAAAGGCTTACAAGAAAGCATCTTAAGGCATATGTTTATAGGACCTTTTTTTATAGCAACCGTTAAAATTGCCTCATATCTATCAAAAAGGGTAGATTAAATAGATACTTTAACAGCGAGGATAGGTTAAAAACTTTATTTCTTCTCGAATGTTTTTTAATCGCTTCCATTTTTGAAAATTTTGTATTCCTTTTCATAAGTTATTCGGGATTTAAATGGAAGTAGTTTGGATATGGCGTTTGTCGCCTCAGCCTGAATATCTGTTGCTAATTTACTTATTTCGTTTTGAGCCATTTGGCTCCAATTCAATCAGCAATCGACGCGAAAGAGAATTAAAAAATATTGACTCAAAACTGACAACTAAAGAGACAGCTTTATTTATTTGTCAAATTACACAGAAACCAACGCCAACCCAGCACAATATTTTTTCTACTCGTGATGAATTCCTTGAAATAATAATTTATGAATATTTTTTAAAACGTAACTTGCTATGGAAAAAAATATTGTTTTATACACGACGATAAAATTGCATTACCGTCTCCCGAAATTAATTCATTAAATTAATTCTCCCGAATTAATCTTTTCCCGGTCGACGATAAAATGCCATTTTATCGTCTTGTATAAAAAATAACTATTATCTGTATCTAGTATCAACTCACTGAATTTTGATGCTGCACTATTTTTTTACAACGTGTATAACTAAAATTAATTTTAATAGAAAGATATTTGAGAAAAAATAATTGACCCCAGTCGCCAAAAGACATAACACAAAATGTATTATGTGTTTTTCTGAAATTAATTATATTTGAATAAACAATATTATGTGGATCTAAAACAAATATTAGCTAATTGGAGGCCCAGCATGGGTATTTAATAAGGGTGGGTGATATTCGGCCACCTGAAATCACCATATCCCGCAATGCTTCAAGAGCCAGCACAGGCGTTAAAAATACGAGGGTATTTTAAAAATATCTCTCTTTATTTCACTAGTCTGGGAGTCTAAGGTTTAACGGTAAGTTCGTTTTCATTATATGCCTATATCTATGGGTCTATTTCCTATTAAGCCTCTTAATGTCTTCTTGTAAGCCTATAGAATTCAAGGCGGAACTCAAGAACTTGGAAGATTCTATCCGCAACCTGGAATGGAAATCTTGCAATGGTCTAAGACACTCGAAGAAGTTTCTGAGGGCTTATGATCAAGAAAAATCACAGATCTTCCTGGGTCTGAGTAAGAACAATCTTCGGATTGTCACGGGGTTTTTAACAGGACACTGTCTACCTCAGTAGATTGAAACTAAGAAGAAACGGCGAATGCAGATTCTGTGGGGAAGATGGGGAAACACCAGTACACCTCATCACTGAGTGCGCCGAGACGACAACCATTCGTGCCATGAATTTTGGTACGACTGATATTGGAGATGGAGAACTACCCTCTATAAAACCTGATACTGGCTTTTGTCAAAGCCCTGGGACTGTATGATGAGTTATGATTCAAGAAAGGGGGACACAATGCATCTGTAAGGTCGAAGTGATTAACCCCCCTCCCACTCATTCTAAATTCTAAATTCTAAAAAGCCTATAGAATGTGGTGTCCCTCAGGGTTCAGTACTTGACCCTATTAAGTTTCTGGTGTTTATCAACGACATTGCAAATCTAGACGGTGAAATCTGCCTCTTTGCGGACGATACTAGTTTCACTTGGAGCGGCCCAGATGTTGCGGCACTATTAAGTCTTGGTGCGATTCTAATCTGCTATGCCTCAACCTATCGAAAACTAAAGTTTTGTCATATAAACGTACTATACAACCTTTTGTACTTAACAACACTACTATTGACGTCGTGGACTCTGTGAAATTCTCAGGACTTCTTGTAGACAACTCGTTAAAATGGAACTTTCACATTGAAGCTCTATCAAAGAAACTAAGCGCTGCCTGTTTTGTGCTAAGATCAGTTTCTAAGGAACTTAACTTCTCAACCTCTAGAATAGCCTATTATGCCCTTTTTGAGTCACATCTTCGTTATGCCCTTCCATTCTGGGGTACTTGCTGCGCAACAAAATTTGATCGAGTTTCAGACTTCGATACTTATTGGGACTGAACAGTAGAACTCACTGCCAGAATTTCTTTAAAAATTTGAAAATACTGACTCTTCCTTCTTTATTCATTTTTGAATCCGTTTGATTAATCTGCAACCACATATCTGCTATTCCCGAAAGGCCATCTCATAACTATCCACATAGGAATGCAGAGCACGATCTTTATCTGCCAACCCCGAGCTCAGAACTACTTAAAGGTTCAATATTGTACAATGCCAAAAAAATGTACAATCATCTGCCTTTGAATATCAAGTCGCTTTCATTCTTTCCCGCATTTCGCAAAGCTCTAAAATCATACCTACTGGAGAGAGCCCTATATGCGGTAAACGACTTTTTTGTTGATGTTTAATTATGCACAATTTTGAATTTTAAAACTTTGATCATCTCACACACTGGTCAAAGGTCAAGTATTTAATATTTTATAACTCTAAAATTATATCTATTTACTGCGTACTGTTCTAAAATTGTCCATGTATATTCTTTTTGTAATTTTAAAGACTTAAATTTTTTTGAATTGTATTATTTGTCCTGTGTATTTTTTGTTGTTTGTATTTTTTTTGTGATTTTGTTGTTTGTGAGTGCTTTGTCGATGAAGCTGTTTTGGCTTTTTGCACAATAAAGCGTTGTTTGTTTGTTTGTTTGTTAAGCTTGATTTTATCTTCCATCAGGGAGAATTGATATGTTTTTAATAGTTGGTGAATGCAGTGTGCATTCACCAATTATTAATAGAATCCTAAATGCTCCTGATTTTATCTAGTCTGTTTTTTATGGGGATATGTTAAAGACAGTGTTTACAAAACTCGACCAACTATTGTCGACAACATGAGAGAATTTATTGTAGCTGCTTTTCGAGGTATAGAACTCCACATATGCCTTTTAAAATGAAAAGATCATTTTGATGAGACAATCATTTTATACAGTTAACAAGAAAGGAAGTATTTTGAGCATTTGATTTCATTGAGCTAATTTTTGTCACATAATTATAGGTTTATATCTATTTTTATTTCTGTAATAATTAAAATATGTTGTAAACGTGTATCTTTTTATTACCCTTGAGTATTTTACTCGACAATCTTTAATTTTTGTTAAATTAACAAAAGGTACCTTTATCACACAGTCATTCTAGATTTTTTCAAATAATAAAGATCTATACTGACGCAAAATCATAAAAATTAATATATCTAGGAAAATCTTTGTCTGAGGGGTAGATAACCTTAATAATATTTTGAAATTACCTTATTGCATTTTTAAAAAGAAAAGCTTCCAGATATCAGGCAAAGAAATCAAATGTATTTACAAAACTGGAAATAGAACGCTTTTGAAAGAAGCCGATGACAAAGAATTCCTGTTAGCTAAAGTTGCCTTAATCGTTGGAGTATTTGGAGCATGTAGGAGGAAAAAAGTCACGTTTTTGACCGTAGATGCCATTAAAGATTGTCAGCCATTTATTAGTGTGAAGATTCCGAATAAAAAAAATCATTTTCCAAGTGTTTACGATTACTGAGGGACCAATAGATGGTATCAATTTCTTACATGTATTTCGTAAGTACGCAAAACTTCGACCACTCAAGCGATTTTTCTTGACGTATCGAAAAATTCAATGCTGTACCCTGCCAGATGGAATCAATATAATTGGGGTTATGCCAAAAAAGATAGCGGAATTTCTTGGATTCTCCAACGCCATTGAATACACTGGTCATTGTTCCCGGCGCAGATCTGCAACAATGCTGGCAGATTCAGGAGCGGACATATTAGTTTTAAAGCGACATGGAGGTTGGCGATCAAGCTCGGTTGCTGAAGGTTACATTGAAAATTCAATTGAACAGAAACCCGAAATAGTAAAAAGAATCACGAGACAGAAAGATACGCCAAATAAGAAATTAAAAGCAGTTCACGTAGAAGCAGAAACTACCAGCATTGTCAGTACAAGAAATTTACTTATTCCGACTCGTATAACTTGCATTTCTCTTAGAGACGAAAAGTTGGATGCCTCTTATATTCAGTTTAATAATTTAAATAATCGTACCTTTAAGATTTATAATAAATAAATATTTTTATTGTTTCTAACGTCGAAACGCTTTCACAAAAAAGTATTTTCTTTTTTCCATGCAGTTCTTTTGGACGCTCCCCGGTACGGCCAGCTCATTGACGAAGGATGAGCCTAATGAAGTGACGTTCCCTCCGCGGCAGAATGACATTCGACACCCCTCTGGGAGGGGATGGGGGCGGCCACTCTTGCCACCCCCCATCAGGGTCATTTTCGCTGTCCCGCGATGCCACTTAAAACACAGTAAAGTTTTGCGCCCTCACTTGTGAGGGCTCGCAGAGACCACGCGTGTACGGGGTGAGTTTTGAAACGTCGTGAGGGATGATTGATAGTGAGGTGAAATCGGGGAGGTTTTGAGCATCTTAGTTTAAAAAGTTTCGCGGTTTCTTTTTATTGTGAGTTGTGATGGAGTGCTATCGGTGATTAAGGATTTATGTGAAGAAAAAGGTAATTATTTCTGAGTTTTTTATAATTATTTATTAATATCTTAAATTCTAATATTTTGTTTTTTATTTCATTAAATTTACTGAAATTATATCCATTATTGTTAGACATCCAACTAGTGATGTAAAAATTCTAAGTAATCGTTACTAAGTAACAGTTACTTTACGAGGACTCGAAGTAACGTTTACCATTTGAATTTAGGACTCGTTACTCGTTACTAAACTAATTTGTTACTTTTGCGCCGGCAGTAATCGTAATCCCTGGAAATGCACGAACCGAGGACTCGAAACTCGATACTGAAATATTCCTTACTTCCTGCTTCTGTATCTGCCTCTCTTTCTCCTCCTGAATCCTTTTGTACTCCAGAAGTCGTCAATCTCCGCCTGGCGAGCGTTGTACTTATCCTCCAGAAACCTCCTATCGTCCTTGATCTTATCTAGATTGGTGGAGAGTTTGATGATGTCCCCGTCCAGCTTGTCGAAATCCTCGTCGTACTGCTTCATCCAGAACTGGATACCGTCCAAGCAGTCGTTCTTGCTCTCCTCGAGGTATCGATTCTGGGTCTCAATTTTCTTTTTGGTGTTCTTTATGAAGGAAGAATGAATATCTTCCTTTTCCTGGCACTTTATTTGGTTTTGCTCACGCCTGGCTACTTCCCACTGCACGAAGAACGCCACCTCTCTTTGCCCGTACAAGTAAATGTCCTCAGATTCAAACCTAAGCTTCTGTATGTTTGAATTTGTGTCTTTTATAGTTTTTGTGTTATTTAGTCGTTCTTCTTCACAGTGTGTTTTGATGTCATCGATAATTTTCTCTTGGTTTTCTTCGTCTTGTAGCAACTGGTCTTCTTCCTGTTTCATACGCTTCAACACGTTGACGCAAGTCGAAATTTTGTCTAGAGTACCAAACTTGGTGAATTCTCTACAAGCGTCTCGAATAATGCCGTAAAACAGAGCGATATCCTTCGCCAGTTTGTTGAAATTACTGTTCGTACAACCGATACGGATTTGAGCGTGGTCCTCCTGGCCCATATACCGATCTTCCAGGCTCTGGTAGTAAGTGAATTGTGAAAAATCCAGTCCACGGTCGTTTTGGATGTTGATGCTGCGCAAAATGCTTAATTCGTCCATGCATTATGATAGTGCGCAGGTTATTACACCTCTTATTAGGATAGGGACAGCGTCGTTAGTTTTGATGTTATCTAATAATATTATTATGTCACTTACGATTAAATGGTTGTTTTATTATATTAATACACTTTTTTAAAAGTTCTACAGATTTATTTTGAAATACTATCAACAAAATAGTATTTTAACAATCTAGAGAATCAATTTACACTACTTATAACACTTCAACCCGAATCTTTACTTTTTCTTAGACTTTTTATCTTTATCCTTCCCCTTTCCTTTTCCTCTCTTCTTCTTCCTGTAAGGTCCCAACCTCTTCCTCACCATCACTCCTCTCCACCAGGCCTGTATCTTCAGCCCCGCATCGTACTCCTTCTGTACCTGTCTGTCTTTCTCCTCCTGAATCCTTTTGTACTCCAAGAAGTCGTCAATCTCCGCCTGGCGAGCGTTGTACTTATCCTCCAGAAACCTCCTATCGTCCTTGATCTTATCTAGATTGGTGGAGAGTTTGATGATGTCCCCGTCCAGCTTGTCGAAATCCTCGTCGTACTGCTTCATCCAGAACTGGATACCGTCCAAGCAGTCGTTCTTGCTCTCTTCGAGGTACCTAACGAATTCGGCGTGGCATCGATTCTCGGTCTCCATTCTCTCTTTGGTGTTCTTTATGAAGGAAGAATGAGTATCTTCTTTTTCCTGGCACTTCATTTGATTTTGTTCACGCCTGGCTGCTTCCCACTGCACGAAGAACGCCACCTCTCTTTGCCCGTACAAGTAAATGTCCTCAGATTCAAACCTAAGTTTCTGTATGTTTGAATTTGTGTCTTCTATAGTTTTTGTGTTATTAAGTCGTTCTTCTTCACAGTGCGTTTTGATGTCATCGATAATCTTCTCTTGGTTTTCTTCGTCTTGTAGCAACTGGTCTTCTTCCTGTTTCATACGTTTCAATATGTGGACGCAAGTCGAAATTTTGTCTAGAGTACCAAACTTGTTGAATTCTTTACAAGCGTCTCGAATGATGCCGTAAAACAGAGCGATATCCTTGGCCAGTTTGTCGAAATTACTGTTCGCACAACCGATACGGATTTGTGCGTGGTCCTCCTGGCCCATGTACCGATCTTCCATGCTCTGGTAGTAAGTGAATTGTGAAAAATCCGGTCCAGGGTCGTTTTGGATGTTGATGCTGCGCAAAATGCTTAATTCGTCCATGCATTCTGATAGCGCGCAGGTTATTAGACCTCTTAGAAGGACGGAAACGGCGTTGGTTTTGCTTTTTTCGCTGGCGAGGGTGTTTAGAGACTGGGACATGACCGAACGGCTTTCGCTCTTGCTACGCATTTCTCTTTCTTTATCGACATCTTCGTATTGGTCCTCCTCATCTTCTTCTTCCTCTTGTTCATCTTCATTCTCGTCTTCGTCCACGTCGTCTTCGTATCGCATGGTGGGACGGGAATCGTTGAGTTTTATTACAATAATGACAGATAAACGTCTTAAGACAATACCTATATGTCATTTAGGAAACTTTGTTTCGTACTCTATCCAGCCTTGATGTTCGTGCTGATTAGTAGTGGGAACTATCGAATGAATACTATCGAAACATTCGATAGTTGGAATTCATTCGAATAATTCGATAGCTAGTAAAAAAACATTCGTTGAAAACTATTCGAATAAAAATTATCGAATAGATGCGTCATCTGCCTTGAAATATTGTATTCTAGTAATTCGGCAGCAAAAACCATTCATTTATAAAATTCATTCATTATGAAATTCATTTATTCGTAAGGATCGATTATAATAAAATATTAACTGGATTTTAGTTGTCGCCCGGCGACGCAGGTTTCTTTCCGAGAAACCCGACAGCGGTCGGTGGCAATGCTATGAAAGAAGCCGGCATCTTTGATTTTTTCCGGAGTCATATAAAGATAAGGACACATTATTTTTTTATTGAGGTGCTAGTATTTACACAGAAAATACATTATGAAGGGCGCTGTTGCCATATATTGGTATTAGTTGATATTATTATTATTGTTTGGCTTTAGTTAGTTAGGGATAGTATGTCTATATATTTTGCATTTTTTTGTTATTAATATTCTGTTGTTACACTGCAATAATACTTGTTATTTTGGATGTAGGAAAATGATTTTTAATGTTTTTAAGCAAAGACTGGTTTAATAAAAATAATAATAACAGTAATAATTTGTTATACCTATTAACAACAAAATTTAAAATAATTTAATATAAACATATTTTTTACGTAGTAGCAAAATATAAACAACAAATTAGATGTCAAAATTATTTATATTAGATCCTATTTAAAAATAATATAGTCTTTAAATTTTTTGTGCGGCAACGTTGGTTTATTAAATAATAATAATTACAGAACTAATTTGTTATATTAACAACAAACTTTAAAATCATGAAATATAAACATTTATTAATTTTCTAAGCATGCAGTGTAATGGAAGGAAAATATAAATAAAAATTAGAAATCAAAATTATTTATATTAGGTACTTTATATTACTATTTAAAAATAATATTTACTTTTACTGGCATTTACTTTAAAAAAAATGAAATATTTCTTCAAAAAAACTACATGTAAGAGAATTAGCATAAACAAAATACAAACATCGTTAACTTTTTTTTTAAATTGGCACGTGTAAAACTTTCAATTTAATTTTCTCACCCCATAGTTTGAGTTCGATTACCCCCCATTTACTTAACCACATTACTTAAATATGATTATTAAGTTCAACTAATTCATATTATTTAAACATCTAAAATACAAATATGTATTTTTAGAATTAATTCTAAGTTCACATCATCTCTCTTAAAAATTGCTACTTCTCAAAATTTCCCATTAAAAAATAGACCATATAAACCATATAAAATAAAATAATTGAAAGATCGGGCTACGGAAAATCACACAAATTTTCGGAAAAATTTTGACACCTGCACACGCACACAAGCGTCAATTAAAAAAGACTACTATTTTAGTATTTTAAATATTTTAATAAACCCAAAATTGGGCACAGTATTTATAAGGTGAAGTTATAAAAATTTGGAAGAACTAATAATGCACTGACGCACACAAAAATCAAACGAATACTCTGACTAAATTTCATTTATCAAAAGCATTCGATAGTCCTGGCTCAACGATAACCATTTAGTTGCACGGCGAGGTTGTCACATATGCTTTAGTATACAAATGAATGAATGATTTTATTCGAATAAAACCATTCGATAGTTGAAATCATTCATTCAGTAACCATTCGATAGTCTAATTTATTCGATAGTTCCCATCGCTAGTGCTGATATACTTATCGTGTCTGATATACTTCTACCGCCATCAGTAATTTTCTTTTGTTATTCTCCGTTAACCCCCATGTTTTCGCCCTAAATAACAGATTGGTCTTGACTATCGCATCATAAATCCTTAGTTTTCTGTCTTTACCTATTTCGTTACTCCAGAGTATATTATTCAGACATTTTATTGCATTTCTGGCCTTGACTATTCTCGAGATTATTTCGTTGTCGTCTTTCCCGGATTTATCGGAAGTAACCCCTAGGTATTTGTATTCGTTACATGTTTGTATATATTCATTATCCAGTTTTATTGCTGTTTGATCCGATCCAACGCAGAGATATTTAGTTTTTGTGATATTCATCTCCAGTCCCCAAACTTAATATTCCTCTTAAAGTGTTCATGTCATATATGTCAGTCATTTTTGACTCCTGCACAAATAACCTGATCGTCAGCGAACTCGCTGTGTCATTTAATCTGGTTAATTTAAGACATTCTTACAGCTTGGTGATAGGGACGTTATCGTAAGCTTTATGGAGATCGACAAACATTAGGTGTACATCTTCATTTATTGCTATTTTCTTTTCTATGAGTAGTTTCAAACAGAATAAGTTATTAGTGCAGTATCTCCTAGCTCTAAAACCTAGCTCTAAAGATACACCCTGTATATTCCGAAAAATACAATTATTACCCAAAAAAAGACACGTAGTTCAAACCAGTAAACTACATCGCAACCTACAAATTTTTGGAATTTATGTATGCAATATAAAAATAAACCCATTCAATGTCATACAAACCTGGGTATATTTCCATATTGATGATTGAATATGTTTAAGGGAAACAACCTTCCCCTCTCCCTTATTCTTGCAGCTTTCTCCAATAGGAAACCCTACAGGGGCGGCGTTTATCGTCATACTACCCCTCATTTTCCCCAAAACGTTGCCGTGGCAACGGGAAGAAAACATGGCCGCAATATTTACCCCCAAATACCGGGGGATAAATTTGAATTTTTAATTATTTTTTGGTCATGTATACAAGTTTTGTGTTAGAGTATTTTTTATTTAAATTTAGTTTATTTTTAAACATATACATTTGTACAGAGTGGTCCTAAAAATAAAGACGTAACAGCATCATACAATAGAAAATATCAATTTTCTTTTTAATTTTCCTAATTGAGATGCATTGAAAATACGGGCACTGTATTTTTCGATCAATTAGTCACTTTTTTGCTTTAAGCTATTTGAGTATATTATCAAAAATAGAGTGGTGGGGGAAGGTCAAACATTTTTACTTTCAAATGCTGATATCTCTTGTTTGGATGAACCGATTTTGGTCAACTTGGTGTCATAAAAAAGTGCTTAAATTGTACTTTAATGACTTATATGATATCGTATTGTAACGGAATTTTAAATAGTATAATCCTTTATCTTTAATTTCCTTCTTTATTTGTGTAAAAATACTTGAAAGTGAAATGAACTCTTAATTGTTATGACTTTTATATCCAAGCATATTCTGTAGCCGTGAAGTCTATTTTAAATTAATATTAATAAGAATATACAAAAATTAAGGTATTTAGACGATTTTTTTAGAGAAATAGACAGATATAAAAGTAACTTTTGATTTTCACAGGGGGTTTTACTGGTACACCTGGATTTTCTTCTTCCTTCCTGTTGATTTTCCCCCCATTTCTGCGCAAGATTGGTCCAGCTTCGCAGCTTCTGGCTCCCCCGCAACTATGGATACCAGCTACGTGCCGAACAACCCCCAGTTTGGTCTTCAGTTTGAGTGTAACTGGACTGGACCGGGAGGAATACAACAGGTACGTAGTAAAAAACGTTTTGTATGTTTCTATATTGTTATCATTGTTACCAGACAATGTTTCTTATTTCTAATTTTTTTTTACAATTTTTAACTACTATTAAAAATTGTCCATAAACAAGGTTTGAAGAATTCGACTTTTTTATTAAAGTAAAGCATTTAGGGGTTTTAGAATAAAAGTATATAATATATATTATATAATATAATAAAGTATTTCTAAAAGTATATAAAATTTCCTATAAATTCCGAAATTTTCATGTTTTTTTCACTATTTTTGCTCTTTTTGTAGTGTTTTGAAAAAGCGTATGCCAAAAAATGGAAAGATTCAGGGATTGAAAAATTAGGGTTGATTAAATCTACTTTTTGACAAAATCGAAGACTTTTAAGGCCTTATAATTTGATATATTCTAAAAGTAGATAAAATTTCCTACAAATCCTGAAATTTTCATAATTTAATCACTACATTTACCATTATTGCGAGCGTCTTGAAAAAGCGTATGCCAAAAAATTGAAAGATTCAGGGATAGAAAAATAAGGGTTGAGTAAATCTACTTTTTGACAAAATCGAAGACTTTTAAGGGTTTTTAATTTTATATATTCTAAAAGCAGAAAAAATTTCCTACAAATTCTGAAATTTTCATAATTTTATCACTACATTTACCATTATTGTGAGCGTTTTGAAAAAGCGTACGCCAAAAAATGGAGAGATTCAGGGATAGAAAAATAAGGGTTGATTAAATCTACTTTTTGACAAAATCGAAGACTTTTAAGGGTTTTTAATTTTATATATTCTAAAAGTAGATAAAATTTCCTAAAAATTCTGAAATTTTCATAATTTTATCACTACATTTACCATTATTGTGAGCGTTTTGAAAAAGCGTACGCCAAAAAATGGAAAGATTCATTGATAGAAAAATAAGGGTTGATTAAATCTACTTTTTGACAAAATCGAAGACTTTTAAGGGTTTTTAATTTTATATATTCTAAAAGTAGATAAAATTTCCTACAAATTCTGAAATTTTCATAATTTTATCACTACATTTACCATTATTGTGAGCGTTTTGAAAAAGCGTACGCCAAAAAATGGAAAGATTCAGGGATAGAAAAATAAGGGTTGATTAAATCTACTTTTTGACAAAATCGAAGACTTTTAAGGGTTTTTAATTTTATATATTCTAAAAGTAGATAAAATTTCCTACAAATTCTGAAATTTTCATAATTTTATCACTACATTTACCATTATTGTGAGCGTTTTGAAAAGCGTACGCCAAAAATGGAAAGATTCAGGGATAGAAAAATAAGGGTTGATTAAATCTACTTTTTGACAAAATCGAAGACTTTTAAGGGTTTTTAATTTTATATATTCTAAAAGTAGATAAAATTTCCTACAAATTCTGAAATTTTCATAATTTTATCACTACATTTACCATTATTGTGAGCGTTTTGAAAAAGCGTACGCCAAAAAATGGAAAGATTCAGGGTTAGAAAAATAAGGGTTGATTAAATCTACTTTTTGACAAAATCGAAGACTTATAAGTGTTCACAATTTTACATATTCTAAAAGTAGATAAAATTTTCTACAAATCCTGAAATTTTCATAATTTTATCCCTACATTTACCATTATTGTGAGCGCGTCTTTAAAAAGCTAAAATAAATAGTCAAAAAAGGCTAATTTCTAGAATTTTTCCATACATATAGTCATGCAAATTAGAAATTTTGGCAAATAAGTGACCGATTTTGAGAAAACTACTATTGTTAACTAGCTGAAAGGTGTTTTTTAAGAAAATATAGGCCTTAAAAAAATTACTAAGTGTTAACGCTCTTTTAAAATTGTTCAAAAACAAAAAAGTGTTGAAAAAATTGACTTTTATTATTCAATTAAAGAATGTAAGCCTTAAAGATACATCTATTTAAGACGTACATAATATTTCCTATAAATCATGACATTTTCATAGTCTTATCTCACTCTGTTCCCTATTTTTGTAAGCGCTTTAAAAAGCCGTCAAAAATAGCCAAAATTGAGCAATTTATGGGCTTCTTTGCATACTTTTATTCACAAAAAGTGGTGATTTTGTTCTGTTTTATATTAACTAGAATGTATATATAATTGAAAAATATTCCTTTTTGTCTTGACAAGTACTGTACGAAATGTAGGTGAACTTTTATCTATTACTAACAATTCTTTTAAAACAAGGGTTCATTGAAAATCCAGTTTTAAATACTTTTTCAGTTTTTAGTTTGGTTTTTTTTGCTTTAAAAAGTCTGCAAATTTGAAGACTATTTCTAATAATTTTGTTTTAATTATATTATTATTTCCCAAAGGTCAACAACTACCCAGACGACTTATCATCTTGCTGGAGCGACGACATGGGTTCATTCTCCCTACCACTGGACTTAGAACCACTCCCCAGCCTCTTCAACATCTCCCCCTGCGGGACAGCTCCCTCCAACACAGCCTACAAGTAAAATTCCCCATTTTACAGCCCACTTTAACCTCTAAAACTTGTATTTTTGTGTAGAGCAGAACCTGGAGGATACCAAACACAAAATCCTCTCTTGTTCAGAGACCAGAAACAACCAGGGTCTGATGTTGCTGATGTATTGCTGTCCTTGAAGCATGCGGTGGTTCATCCTGGTCAAAGCCCCAACGAGAAGTTCGAGAATCAACAGCATCTGTACCATCCCCAGATGTTGTTGTCGCCTGGGGGGTATTCAACTGGTGGAGGGTTGTGTGACCAGAACTTTGGGATGGCTCAGCAAGCTCCGATTTTTCCAAGCATGTCAGTGAATGTTTCGATGAATATGACTATGCATAGTTACCACCATCCGAATGCAGGATATACTTCGGATATTTCCTGTCCTCAGGTAACTAAACTAACTTGTTGTTAATAATAAATAATATTAAAAAAATCTAGGTACAGTGGAACACGCAGACCCCATCTCAGTCGTCTTACCAAGGGCAGGGTCTTCTAAGTCCTTCTTACGGTGGAACATACTCTTTTACTGCTGACTTTCGACCTCCTCAGGATGTGCCATTGCTGACGACCAGTGCAAGCTATAAACCGATGCCGATGACGTTTATACCACCGAAACGTCGGTCCAGTTCAAGCCTATTGGACGACGATGGACAAAAACCTAACGTATGTCGAATTTGTGGTAAGTTTTCATTTATATAGGAGCTATAACGGTTTTATCTTATGTGCACTGAAAACTAGAAAATAATAATAACAATTAGGTATTTTGAACTTCTAGTTCAGAAATATTTTAGTACTAGGCAGAATAGCTTTTAGGCATATTAGACTAAAATAAAAACGTGGGGCCCCTCTGAAATCTTACCTATGGCAAAGCATATCTTTATACTTTGGTAGATCATGAGCTCGGCGTTCGCTGGTGAAGCCGCGACGGCTGGTTATTGATTGTCAAAATCTCCAGTTACGATTATAGTAAGTCGATGCAATCCACACTTAGTATAGGAGAAAGTATTACAGCAATAGTTAATGGGCCCCACATTTTTATTTTAGTCTAATATGCCTAAAAGTTATTCTGCCTAGTACTAAAATATTTCTGAACTAGAAGTTCAAAATACCTAATTGTTATTATTATTTTCTAGTTTTCAGTGCACATAAGATAAAACCGTTTAACTTAAAAGTTTTTTTACCGATTTTTTATTTTCTAGTTTTTAGTATTTAACGGAAATGCCTACCGAATATTCCTCATTCTATTTAATTCATTTAGTGCATCATTATTACATGGTTTTTTACCTGATAATTTATTACAATCTGACGTTCAGGGGTTTCTGACGCTAACAACTCTCTCTGTCTGTCGCGTTCTGATGCTAGCCTAGACTCATGACGCTCAGGTGTTTCTGACGCTAACAACTCTCTTTGTCTCTCTCGTTGTGATGCCAGCCTAGACTCATGACGCTCAGGTGTTTCTGCCGCTAACAACTCTCTCTGTCTGTCACGTTGTGATGCTAGCCTGGACTCATGACGCTCAGCTGTTTCTGACTCTACCAGCTGCCTTTGTCTCTCACGTTGTGCTATTAACCTGGCATCATGTTGCTCAGGTGTTTCTGTTGCTAACCGTTCTCTTCGTTTCTGTAGTCGACTGTAGGTTTCATTTTCACTTTCTTTTGCACGTTTCGTTCTATACTTTTCTTTCGCCTTTTCGAGCCTTCCTTTTCGTTGTGTAGCAGTTTCGTTTTTATTTTTCTTTGTTTTTTTATTTATGTCGAAGTATTCCGAGAGAGACTTTCCAAAAAGTGAGAGAGAAGAATTTGAAAATCGTTTGTATTTATGTATGGAACAAAACGGCTGTCATTTTGGGCAATTATTAAAATAAATTATCATTTTAAATTTCTTTCAAATTGTCACACCTACATTTCTTGTCACTAACCAGTAATTAAGTTGAAGTCTGTATGACCATCGTTTAGCAATTTCAATTAGCTTTCCAAAGAAGTGTCACAAGTGGGGTATCGTTCGGTGACCTGTGTTCCATGAATGCCGACAAATCTTATATTTTCTTTTTTTTCTGCAGGGTGTTTCAAAAAACACGTACTATCTCTAGTGGGGAGATTCCTCACGTAAAAATAAGATTTATTTTTCATATCAACATAGGTCCGATTCTGCTTTGTTTCGTAGCTACAAGGTGTTAAAGTCGAAAATAGTTTTTCGATTCATTATAATTTTCTTCCAAGTGCTTTCAGCGTTTCGAATGAAATTTCGACATATTCACCAGGGAGGTGCAATGGAGTATTTTTCTAAAAAAAGCATGTACGTCACTGACTTTTTTTCTCTTGTTAGCGAAATAGTGTAACCAGTTTAATGCCGATTAAAAATTGTCCTTTGATAATTTATCGATTTCGGCCTCATGAATGAGATAAACGCAATTTTATTAATTTGCCTTGATCTAAATCTAATTAACATCTTTAAAAAAATTTAATATCATTTTTTTTGTTTTTTGAAACACCTTATATGTGTTGTTTTTTCAGGAAAAAGTTATGCAAGACCCAGCACATTGAAGACTCACCTAAGGACCCACAGCGGCGAAAAACCGTTCAGGTGTACGGATTGCAATAAGTCCTTTTCGCAAGCTGCCAACTTGACAGCTCACGTCCGAACCCATTCCGGTGAAAAACCGTTCAGGTGTCCTGTTTGTGATCGTAGGTTTTCACAAAGTTCGTCGGTCACGACGCATATGAGAACGCATTCAGGGGAACGACCTTATAGGTAAGAGTTATTATCAGACTTGCCGTACGACTTGATTTATCGTCTATGACCCGCTTTAAGTAAAAAAATATATTTTTGTGTATTTTTTGCAGGTGTAGACTATGCAAGAAGGCTTTTTCGGATAGCAGTACCCTAACCAAACATTTGAGGATACATAGTGGAGAAAAACCGTACGAATGTAAACTATGTTTGTTAAGGTTTAGTCAGAGTGGTAATTTAAACAGGCACATGAGGGTCCATGGTAGTACTAACGGTTTGCCTCCATGACACATGTTTTTTAATTATCCTGTATAAATTTTGAGATATTTTTTGAAGGTGTTGCAACGAAAAAACAATGTACCATCGACTGAAACTTTGAAAAATCTAACTGAAATTAAGAATTTCTATTTTTTGTATAGTTATTTAAAAAAGTACTATAAGTAGCAATCTGTGATTTAAAGTTATACTGTTGTTCGTCTGGAAAAAGCCTGCCATGACGCCTTTTTCATTCGATCACACGGTATATATGTATATAAAAATAAGTTCGAAAAAAAAAACGGCGTTAAAGACAGCTGGGGAAAGGCAATCCATGATAATTTTGACATTTACTAAAAATTGACGTAAAACTTGTCAAAAATTAACACTAATTAACATCTAGGGCTCGGCCTCGCCAAAATTATCATTGATTGTCATTCCCTAAGCTAAAATGTTATATACAGTATTATTTTAATTTTTCATCTAATCTTGTAAAAATACTAATTCAAAAATAATTTTATGATGTTTTTGCAGGTGAAACAAGAATTAATTTTCTAGGACAAATAACAGACAAATATTTAACTAACAAATGATGTTGTTATGTATTTATTTATTAAAACATGTTTTTCTATTTTTTTGTATATAGGGTGTTGAAAAAAAGACGGCAATTCAGATCCTTAAAAAATCTATTCGCTGTAAAATCAACAGGGTTCCAACGACGATGCCACCATCCTGTATACCGTATTTAATATTCCTGTATATTTAATAATAAAAAAAATAAGATTGAGTTAAACCAAAAAAAAAATGATATTTGTATAATAAAAAAATCAGTAATCTAGTCAAATTTTTGTACAAAATTATTATTGAATAAAAGAAATATAGAAAAATAAATGATATAACAAAAGAACACCTCTCTAGGAAGTTGTTTTATTTAAATTTTTGGACTAACAAAAATCTTTTAGTAGACTTATATTGTAATTGTATGAAATTATAACGGTGATAAACTTTTCTTAATCCTGTAACGATTAACCTGATAAGATTTGGTACAGCTAAGGAGAATCAACTTTTTATTAGTTTTTGTTAAAATTTCGGGAAATATTTGTGGAGGATAGCAAGTAGCGTCCTTTTTTTTATGTTTTCTCTCTAAAGTGACAAAAACCATGATTCCGAAAGGACAATATTTAGCTACTTTGGCAGGTATGTTAGATTCATACGGTTTCTTTGCATTGTTACTTGTTCAGTTTCAATTAAAAAATAGATGCAGTCTTTCTTAAATTAGTTAAAATCGGCTACTTCAAAATTGTTCAAATTTGGCACATGTATTGATTATATGTAGACCTTTAAAAAACCTAAGCACGCCTTTGCTGTAAAATCAACAAGGAAACCAATATTTACACAATTCAAAATTTGCATGGGATTTCCTATGTTTCCAACTACCATGCACCACCCAATACAAAATCGCACACACAACACTGCTGTTTTTTTTATTTAAAATATCTTTTACTCTAAATTTTTCTCTCTTTAATATTAACCAAATATTTTTTTGATTATTATCTATATCTTTTTCTCTTGCAATATATGTATACAACAGTGTAAACAATATATTTCTAAGGTTATATTAGAACAATTAATTGATCTAAATTTTAATCTAACAAATTTACTACTTATCTATATCTTATTTATATCGATCTAAAGATTTGTTATACAATTATATATGGGATGATATTTTTACGTGATCAAGATAAAGAATTTTCTATATTTTTTACTTAGCAAGCTTTGTTAATTGTTTTAATAAACTTTCTAACAAATAATTTAATAAATTATAGTTTTTGATAGATATTATTACGTTTTAAAATTAATCATACTTTTTATTAGTTTATGTATACAGTTAATCTAGGTTTGTAATCATAATCACTTATATTTTTGTGTCATATACACAATTATTTCCCTTGACATTATTTAGATATAAAAAAATCGTTTTTATCTGCTATCTTTTCAGTGCATAAAAATCCGAGCAAACAATATTCTAAAACAATACAACAAATAAAACAGAATTAAAAATTATAGTGTTAATATTTTATAAATAAAAGCTAATTAACTTTTTAAAATATTATTATTTTTTTAATTAACTTCTGAAAATTTGTTTCTAAGTTTTCTCATTAAAATCCGAGTTAAAATCACTATTCGCAGTTGATTCTCAGTAATTCGATAGAGATACTATATTAATGCATTCATAATTATTTCTTATGTTAAAACCTTGTTCAGATCTTTTTGCGATACCTTGTATACAAACTAACTTACTATCTTTATTTTTTTTTAGTGTCTCTGGGTGGATTTTCAGCTGGTACCATGCTCGGCTGGACCTCACCAGCATTCGAACACTTGAAACCAACCGAGGCAAACACTACCTCCTCAAACACTACCCTTTTCGAAGTGTCACTATCGCAAGAATCAGCAATATGCGCCATGCTATCCGTTGGAGCGCTAGCATTCGGTATACCATCGGGAAAATTAGCTGACAAGCTAGGAAGAAAGCCAGTTTTACAGCTACTCTCCATCTTATACACTCTGGCTTGGGTTATATCAGCTCTAGCTTGGGACGCAGCTACCCTGATCGTAGCCAGGTTCGTAGGAGGCCTAGCCGTAGGTGGAGCATGCGCAGTTTGTCCTATGTACATCGGAGAAATAGCTGATAACCGAAACAGAGGAATCTTAGGGTCATTTTTCAGTAATTTCCTCGGTTTGGGGGTACTCTACACCAGTATCATTGGTTCTTTTACTGGCTGGCTCGGCTTGAACGTAGGACTGGGAATTTTTTCAGTTTTATTTGGACTAACTTTGATCTGTATACCTGAAACGCCAGTTTTTCTGATCGGGATGGATAAACTAGAAGAAGCAAAGAAGTCTTTGATGTTTTTGAAAGGCGATGTTGCAGTTGCATCAGAAGAATTGACATCGTTGCAAAGAAACCAGCCAGAAACTCAAAACTCAGTGACTCTAGCAGAGTTTTTCAAGGAGAAGAGTTACAGATCAAGCCTGATAGCTGGTCTAGGAATTTTTATCTTGCAACAAACCTGTGGTATTAATCCTGTAGTTTTTTATAGCGTTCCCATCTTTAGAGAAGCAGGAATATCTCTACCACCTTCTTCAATCTCTATAATGATAAATTCTATAGCTCTAGCAACAGGAATTGGTGTTGTATTCCTGATTGAGAAAAAAGGAAGAAAGTATTTCTTGCTTTTATCTGCGTGGTCGATGTTTTTAGGAGCTGTAGGTCTAGGACTCTTTTTCCATTTGAAATCAGAGCAAGTAAATATTACTGGAATATTCCAGACTATTCCAGTATTAAGTGCAGTGCTCATTCTTTCTGGATTTGCTCTAGGGTTCGGTCCCATTCCCTGGGTACTTATCAGTGAGTTGTACTCTGTGGAAGTACGAGGAATAGCTAGTGGAGTGAACACATCAGTGAATTGGACTACCTGCGTCTTGATCACGTCTACCTTCCCGATTTTGCTGAAGTATATCGGGAATTATTTGACGTTTTACATGTACGGGGTGTTTAATTTTGCGAGCGTACTGTTTATTTGGTTTTTAGTGCCGGAGACAAAGACTGGTCTTAGGAAATAGATGATCTTTTATAACAAATACTTTTTATAAATAACATTTTAAAATTTATTACTTTTGTTTATAGTATTCCTTGCTTTTTATACCGGGTGCGTCTCAAAAGTGGCTCACCCCTATAACTTTTTTATCTTTTTAGATAAAAAAAACGAGATTTGGTATGTTAGTAAATTACAAAAATTAGGATCGATTGACGTATTCAATTGTTTTCGATTACTTCCTGTTTCACCGGAAGTACTTTCAACTTTTGGTTTTTAAATGACACCCTCGGCATTTTTTTACTTTATTTGATAGAAAAAGACACTCTGAATAGAATGACATTTCATATGTCAACTTTTGACATTTTCGCATATGGTTTATTTGAAATTGTAAACATGCGGTTCATAACAACAATTTGACTCGAAATACCAACTGTGTGGTATCAAATTATTCGTAAAAAAATGCATTTTCCAAATATGCTAATGAGCTACCCTCGTTCCATTTGAAAAAAATGAGATATGATTAAAAATACGATTTGGGCATCTTTTAAACGGCCAGGGCAAGACAAGAAAAACATTAGACGCTCAAATCTATTTTTCCAAGGCTCCTTGAGATAGACAAAAACTAATATCGGTGTCTGGAGCTCAATTTTTGTTAAAAACATGACAGTGAAAACCGCATATCGATATCTGTTACCGTTTCGGAGTTACGGGGTGTTTTTCAAAAATATGCATTTTTAACAAATCGCTGTAACTTTTTTGCTATGGAAAATGTTGTATTTTTATGAAAACATTTCCAAAGCACCGTTTTACGTAGAATTTAATGGTTTAAGTATATTTTTTTAAAATTAATAATTTAAGAATTATCAACAGAGAATTTAATTTTTTATATGGGACACCCTGTATATTTTTAATTTATTGAAAAGAATTTAAAATTATCGTTCTAAAAATTATAACACACTTGCTATTTTGCTCGATTCCTCTTCGAGATATAGAGTATATAAAAATTCACCCGCTTTAAATAAGTAGGCTTTGAACGGCACCGGCTGTAATGCAAAAAAAATTTAGCTGTGAGCATCAATTAAAACGAAAATAATATTTGCTATGAGAGATGCAGAATTTTATAACAATTTAAAATATATTTAACCAACATCAACACATTTAAACTATATCTAATAACAATAAAAATAAATAGCAAACCAAGACATGAGATTTTGCTACAGGTGTTCGACATATCGACCGTCTTCTGTTATGGACAGACGGGGCAGTTTTTGAACATTTCTCGCGGAATTGATTAACTCAGTGGGGGTGAAAGATACCCTCTCATAACTGCTAAGTACTTCTAATCCTTGTCTAGATTATAGGGAAGAATAAGGAACCTTTATTCTTCCGCAAATATATCCATAGGATTAGATCCGTGGGCACTAAGTCAGGCGGCCTCGACGGCCAACGGCTGGGATCTTGGTTAGTTATCAATTATTCTTGAAATTGGCTGCAAAAATTTGCTGATAACGTCAGCGTTCAGAGGCGGTGCGTCGTCTTGCTGGAAAAATATGTTTTCGTGTTCCATTAAGGGCAAATCATCAATAAGGGGTCCAAAGCCTACTAGTTAAAAGTGGCGAACTTTTAAAAATTCTGTATTTCGAAGGGGATTATAACATAATATCAAGTGTGCTATATTTTTGGATAGGTAATTTTAAATTCTTTTCAGTTAATTAAAAATATAGGTGGTGTCCCAAATAAAAAATCAATTTTTCAGTTGATAACTCTTGAATTATTAATTTTAAAAAAATTATACTTAAACCATTAAATTCTACGTAAAAAGGTGCTTTGGAAATGTTTTCATAGAAATACAAAATTTTCCATAGCAAAAAAGTTACAGCGATTTGTTAAAAATGCACATGTTTGAAAAACACCCCGTAATTCTGAAACGGTAACAGATATTGATGTGCGGTTTTCACCATAATGTTTTTGGTGAAAATTGAGCTCCAGACACCGATATTAGTTTTCGTCTATCTCCTATAGAAAAGGGTGTTTCCATTTAAAAGCGTCGACGAAAAGCGTGGTGACCCACCCTGTACCTATGATCTGGGACTTTTTCAGAACAGCCTGAATCATCCTGTATATTCTTTTTATTTGTTTTATATTCATCATATTTGTTTTGATGCTATTCGAAATACAAATATACAATTCCACTGCATTTATTTTTTTTATTTTCTGTTATGAATGTAATACAAGACAAAAATCAAAAACAAACAAGTCACCTGTGTGAAGTGTGCAATGTAGGTTAATCAATATTTATTGGGGGTATCAATCGATATAAACAACTAATTGATTGGTTGTTTAAAGAAATGGAGTACATTCATTTTATGTTTGAATATTAAGCTGCAGTAACATTCCAAAGATATTCTTAAGACACTGGTATGTCGAGCAACACAGATGAAAGTGAGGTAATTATGTTGAATGAAAATGAAATTAAGAACTCTAGTAGCAAAGTCAAACAGTATCTTGCAGCTTTAACAGGTGAGCATATATAAATTTATTTTATTTTTACTCTTTTATTTAGAAAAAATATCTTATTCTCCTTTCAGTATCATTTGGTGCATTCGCCGTAGGCACAGTACTATCATGGACTTCCGTGGCACTACCCTACGTCACAAACAACCAACAAAACTCAGCCCAAGACTTCCCTACCTTCAAAATCACCCACGAAGAGGAAGCTTTGGTAGGAGCACTACTCACTGTCGGTGCTCTGGTATCAGCAATCCCATCAGGATGTCTTGCAGACAAAGTAGGAAGAAAAAAAGCCATCCTGATCACTATGGTACCTCTTTTAGTAAACTGGGGTCTGATATCATACGTCAGCAACACCTGGCTGCTTCTTTTAGCAAGGTTTATTGCTGGAATGGGCGTGGGAGGATATTGCGTTGTTGCACCAATGTACCTTGCTGAAATAGCCGATGCATCCTGTAGAGGAACCTTTGGTTCTTTCTTCCAACTTTTTATATGTGCAGGAATACTTTTTACGTGCCTTCTAGGACCGATAACAACTTGGACGTCTTTATCCTTAATTCTAGCTGTAGTTCCTGGGATATTTATTTGTATTTTTCTTTTCCAACCTGAAAGTCCATTGTATTTGATCAAAAAAGAAAGAATATCTGATGCAGAAGTCACTTTAAGGTACCTTCGTGGTCCTAGATATCAAGTCAAAAAAGAATTGATGGTTTTACAGAAAGATATTGAAGATTCCTGCCAGAAATCTAGATCTTTGAAAGATATTTTAACAACAAAGAGGTACAAGAAGTCTCTGATAGCTGTACTGGGTGTTTTGCTGTTTCAGCAATTCAGTGGAATAAATGCTTTGATTTTCTATACAGTTCCGATCTTCCAAGCTTCAGGCAGTACCTTATCACCCACTTTAGCAGCTATTACAGTTAACATAGTTCAAGTTCTAGCTACTTATGTTTCTAGTTTGATCGTAGAGCGCGCTGGAAGAAAGTTATATTTATTTATATCAGCCGCAGGTATGTTTTTGTGTTTGGTAACTCTAGCAACCTTTTTTTATGTTAAATCTTTTAATAGCGAGATATCTCAAGGTTTAGGGCTGGTTCCTATCATAAGTATGGTTGTTTTTATGGCTTCTTACTCCATAGGATTCGGTCCCATACCCTGGATGCTCCTGGGAGAGCTGTTTGCTCCAGAAATCAAGGCTGTGGCAACTGGAGTTGCTATTTTAGCCAACTGGATTTTTGCTTTTTTAGTGACATTCTTTTTTCCGATTTTAAATCTCAAACTAGGCACTCACGTGACTTTTTATGTGTTTTCCTGCTTCATGTTGGTAGCTCTGGTTTTTATAAGGTACGTTATTCCAGAAAGTAAAGGGAAATCTTTGATGGAAATACAGAAAATGCTGGAAAATTGACGGTATTATTGATAAATACTCTGGTTAAGACTGATTTTTTTTAAATTTTTGATTTTTCTTTAAAATATGTGTGCATGTTTTTTCAACAAAAGGAAATTGAAATTATGATCAAGACCAGGTGCCTGGGCAAGGTCAGTGCAAAATATTATTTAATTATAACATATATGGTACGTAATAAATTTTTTATGTTATTAGAAATAAGTGAACTGTATTAAAAATGTTGAACATGACCAGCAAAATGGAAATAAAAGTATTTATTATGTATAGTTGCATTATTTTTTATTTTAAGCTAAATAGTAGGTGGTAAATAAAGTACATAACATCAAAAATATGGTTATAAATAAAAATAACTGTTTGCTCGTACCTATGTATGTATATGAAATATTTAAAAAGTTATCATATAAGATTTAAAGTTTAACTTTAACCTTGAATAACTTTTAAACGAGTCGATTACATGAAAAATCATATCAGACCTTTTTTGCAGACCGTTCAATTTTCTATAAAAATATATATTGGTTTTTACAATACGATAATTTGTTAGAATGCAATAAAATTTAAAAAAAAATTCCCCTTGTTATTTAAATGAAAAATAGCTGAAATCGAATGAATTTTGAAGAATGATGAATTTTTTCATCATCGTGAACGACATTTTTACAGTAATTAAAAGAAAAACAAATTTTTTTTTGTGCACCCTAATATACAGTGTGTCAAATAAAATAAATTCGATAAAAAATAAATAGAAGCGTTTTCGAAAAAATCTTAAGACACGTCGATTAGTATTTTTAATGGCGCGTTTTTTTCTATAAAGACTTTTTATACAGGGTGTCTCATATAGCAGCCGACCAATACAAGCTTTCTTATTTTAAATACAACACCCTGTATATTATTCGATTTTTGGATTCTTCGTAAAATTCTAGACATATTTCATGTACAATATCCTATACCTATCTTTAACTGTTTCTGAAATATTAAATGCAATTACAAAAAAAAAAACAACTTTGATATGTAACTTTTTTGAGGGACACCCTGTAGAACTCTCTATATTTTTAAAAAGTGCTCTGAATTAACCTACATATGCTCACAAAATTTCATTTCCATACAAACTGTCGTTCTCCTTGGAGCCTCGGCGGCGTATGAGAGGCGCCACCACAGGCCACCCTGTACATATCAGTGGTACTATCGTTTAAATTTCTTTAACTGCATATCCGAAAAATAAGCCCAATAAATCTTATACTTATTGAGTAGCATAAATCACAATTTAAGTACCGTTTATTAAATATAATTGCGATATATTTTGTCGAAAAATTAAATAAAAAAAAGCGCAAATGAAATCAATGCGATAACCAGGCACCTCTTGAGAATACCCTCCAAAATTATAAGATAAAATTATTATTATCCTGCGACTGTTTCTCATTCGGGCTGTTGCCATTTATCCTGCAAGAAGTTACTCGATCAAATTCCTGCCAAAAAAACAGGATTTAAGAGCTCTGCTACAAAGGTCCCGCAGTTAGCATCAGTGGTAGCCATTATCATGGCCGAACAAAGGCAGAATTACAAGTACGAATCAGTAGCGGGGCAGGAGGGAGGAGATGTTGAAAAGTACAGAGTGCACGACGAAGAGGTGCAAGTGACAGTCATGCAGCAGCAAAAACCGTCCACCAGCAGGACTTTTCAGTACATTGCAGCGTGCACAGGTTAATATACTTTTTATTTTTGTGATGTTCGATGTAGATGTGTACAAAAAACCGGTAAAAATGTGTATAAGTATCAGTTTTTTGCTTAAAAATAGTGTTTTTTTCTCTAAAAAAGATATATATTTTTTGTACCCTGTGTATTTTTAAAAAGGTAGGTTTCTAAAAAAACATAATTTCTTGATTTTTTCATTTAAAAAAATGTATATTTTATTTAAAAAACTTCCAAAACTTATATTTTTAGATAGAACTTAAGAGTGACAAAATTTTGAACTAATTTTGGTTTTTATCTTAGGTACTTATTTGACAATTTTGTTCACATGATAAAAGCTCTTTTAATTTTACCAATTTATACAGGGTGAACCAGTGTACCAAGATAATCTCAATCAAACTCAATCGTTTTATATTTTTAGTGCATGTAATAATTTTTTTAGATGGAATATGAGAGTCTCAAAATTTTTAACTATACAGGATGAGTCTGAAATAAGTGCAAATATTTTTAGGGGCGGTATTTCGACCCCAGAAACACGTCAATGAGTTTTTTCCGCGAAAAAAAATTGAAATTTGGAATTTTTTGAGTTATTTGAAAAACGACAAAGAGAAAATACGTTTCATTTATCGAGATCTACCAGCTCCGAAATTATTTGCACTTATTTAAGACTCAACCTGTATATTAATTTTGGATTTCACTACTTAGTTGCTATTTTTGAACGTAACAATAATTCTTTTAATATTACCTATCTACAGGGTAACCAAAAGATCCATGTCAGAAGTCTTATTTGAGATTTTTACTATTAAAAAATATATTGTCATATATATACAGGGCGATTCAAATAAGCTTGTACACTAAAATTATAGCCTTTTAATGGGTTTTTGAAATACAACTATTTTTAGACTAAATTTTCTGCACTTTTTTTTCAAAATTCTACAATAACAAATTACTTCAAAACTAGTTATATTAAAATACGTTATATTACAGGGTGTTTCAAAAAACACCCTGTACATATTGTTTCGAAGCTACAGGGAGTTAAACTCTTAATTTTTTCCGATATAAAAAATAAATCTTATTTTTACGTGGGGAATCTGCCCACGAAAGATAGCACATATTTTTTGAAACATATTTATACAGGCTGTTTCAAAACTAGATGTATTTTCTTCGCTATTACAAATGGAACACCCTGTACATTATGACATTATACGTTTTTGTCTATATTCTATTAAAATAAATAATTTTTCAAACCTAAATCGGTGTCTATTTTAAATCTCATGATTTTTTTTTGTTTTTACTTATTCTTTTTATTATTTCTTTGTTTTCAGAGTGGTTTCGAAAATTTTATTCAGAATTCTACCACAAATTTTCAATACTTTTTCTTATAAAATACAATATAACAATTTAATTAGGTATTTTAATTCCGTTTTAAATTTTTTGAAAAATAAAAGTAATGATGAAGCTATTTTTTGGATGTTTTTCAGGCTATTAGTCGGGATATTTTTAGAGTTATAGACTGTTTACGGGTTGCTAAAGAAAACATACATTTTCGATAATTTTAAATACTTTATTATAGTAAAATTATTTGTATTGTTACGTTTTTCGTCGGTTCCGTGTGGATAGAAAGTCACAATTTATTTAAACACTATTTATTTAACACTAATTAACAAAAATAATAACGATAAAAGACTTATAGAACTATTTACAAACGATTTATAACTAAGAATTTATTTTGAATTTTAGCGCGTCAACTGTATATTTATAACTGCCCCCTGTAGGCCACGGCCGCCGGCTTTTATACCGGCAGGTAAAGAACTCTAGAATTGTCCATAGATCGTTAGGTGCGTAGAGAAGGTTTTCGAATGTTCTCGTATGTACTCGTCCATTCCAGTGGGACTCGATTCTTCTCGAACGAATGAATCATGCGGTGTCTATGCGATGTTAAGGTCATCCGAGGGCGGGCCATATTGTGAGGTTAGGTCGAGACCACACCGGCCCGCAACACTGCCCCCTTCTTAGGCACATGCTCGTCCCGAGATGTATACGGTGAATGAAGGTATTTGCAAAGCTGGCCCCTGGTACATTGCGAAGTCTGGTAGAAGTAGCAGTCTACAGTTTTCTCTCCCGATCTCAGCTTTGGGTTGTGGCAGCAAACGAGGATCTCGATTCCCGTAAATCTGAACAAGACTTCAATCATGTTCCGGATTGTACGCCAACTCAAACCATCGAGTCCACACGCCAGCTTCGGAATGGCTAATCGTGCAATGTTGTTGTTTAGCAGGGCTTCTCTCAGTTCAATCAGGGTCTTCCATAGATTGAGATAAGTCGGCTTACTCGGGGACCATTCCTTGGTGACCAGGTAGAAGATGTGCCTTGCTTGACCATGTGCATTGTCGGTTAGCCTCAAGACGCTTCCAACCTCTGGATCCTGTCGGCGTAGTTCTCCGACACGCCCAAACTTCTCATTGAACGTCGCAGCGATTCCTCTGGACATCCGCAAATCTCGAGCCACACAATGAGCGAGCGAATAATCAGGAGGCACGGAAAAGAGGTCTCGTTGATCTTCTTTGGTTACACCATAGCGAGCCTTCTCACTGCTGTTGTATCGGGCCATGAAATCGTCAAAGGACATCTCCGAATCAGGGGGATCAAAGCTGCAGGTTCTCACGGTCCCAGCACGATCTTCTATTTCGCCTTGGTAGGGGCTCAAACGGTTGAAATGGACTACCCTCGGTTTTCCTTTTGGCAATTTTCTGATACGGTATACGACGTCATTAATTCTATCCATGACTTCGTATGGCCCTTCCCACGAGGATTGTAGCTTCGGAGATAACCCACGACGTCTCTGCGGGTTATATAGCCACACCAACTTCCCTGGTTGGTATCCTCCATGCTCAGCTTGAATGTCGTAGTGTTCCTTCATTCGGTCACTAGCACTTTGAATATTTAGGCGGACTCTCTGATGAATGTCGTCCATCCTTTGACGTAGTGTGTGGACATAATCTTCTCCGGCGACTTCTTCTCCCGGTCGGCAACCAAATTTCAGATCACAGGGTAGGCGCACTTCCCGTCCCATAACGATGCTGGCTGGAGTTTGCCCTGTAGATTCTTGGACGGATGAACGGTAGGCCAACAGGAACAGGTGAAGAAATTTGTCCCAGTCTCTTTGGTGGTCAGAGACTACTTTGGCCAGATAACGGTTGATAGTTCTGTTCATGCGTTCAACCATCCCATCGGATTGTGGATGTAGAGCAGTCGTCCTGGTCTTGCGGATGTTCAGGACTTCACAGACGCCTTGGAACAGATTGGACTCAAAGTTTCTTCCCTGATCTGAATGAAGCTCCATGGGAACACCAAACCTGCAGATCCATTCTTTAACAAGGGCATCAGCAATCGTGGACGCTTCTTGATTTGGCAACGCGTAGGCCTCGACCCATTTGCTGAAGTAATCCATTACTACCACAATGTATTTGTTGCCATCGTTCGTCTCCGGGAAAGGACCAGCCACGTCGATCGCTATTCGTTCGAAGGGACTACCAACATTGTACTGGCGCATAGGGGCTTTACCACGCTTTTGTGGCCCATTAATGGCTGCGCAAATGTCACATTTCTTACACCAGGCCCTCACATCTTCTTTGCAGTTCACCCAGTAGAACCGTTCACGCAGCTTGCCAAGTGTCTTGGTAACACAAGATGTCCTCCGCTGGTTCCATTGTGAACTTCCTCCAAGACTTCTGGGACCCTCTTCTTTGGAATGACGATCTGTCTTCTCTCTTCTTGTCCCTCCGGTCTCTCGATCACACGGCGAAGTAGTCCGTTATCTATTACCAAGGAATTCCACTGGGCCCAGTACGACTTTACGTTCGGCGAATATCTGCAAACTTCTTCCCACGTTGGTCTTTGGCCTGTGTTTTTCCAGTTAATTACTAAACCTAATTCTGGGTCACTGGTTTGGTCATTTGCAAGATCTTCGGGTTGCCAACTATCATTAACCACAGTTGTTCTTAGAGTTTCACTTTTTCTCTTCTGCTCGGGAACAATGCTTACAGTCCTTAGCGCAAGGTCTTCTGGAAAGTGCGTCGGCATTTTCGATGGATTGCCCCAGCTCGATGTTCTGTGTCGAAGTCAAATTCTTGTAATCGTTCAATCCATCTAGCTACCTGCCCTTCAGGATTCTTAAACTGCAACAGCCATTTCAAAGCAGCATGGTCTGTTCTTAACAAGAACTTTCTTCCATAGAGATACTTGTAGAAGTGTTCCACTGCTTTAACTACTGCTAGTAATTCTCGTCTGGTTACACAGTAGTTCCTTTCCGGTTTTGACAAGGTCTTACTAAAATAACCAATGACTTTTTCTTGACCATCCTGGATCTGAGACAGAACAGCGCCTAATGCAACATTGCTAGCGTCGGTATCCAATATAAAGTTTCCGTTGCCAAGAGGGTAGCTAAGTATGGGCGCACTAGTCAGGGGCCTTCTTCAATTTTCGGAATGCCTCGTCAGAATCTGAATCCCAAGAGAAACGCCTCTCGCCTTCGGTAAGTCTGGTCAATGGTTTTGCGATGGTGGCGAAACCCTGTACATAACGTCGATAGTATGTGCATAGTCCCAAAAAGCTTCGTAGTTCATGTTTATCTTTAGGTATCGGCCACTCTACCACTGTCTTGGTCTTCTGTGGATCTACCGCAACTCCTTGGGAGGAGACTACATGGCCCAAGTAGTGTACCTTTTCTTGACACAGATGACATTTCTTGGGGCTAAGTTTCAAACCAGAACTCCCTAGTCGCTTGAAAACTTCTTCCAAATTCTTCAGATGATGGTCAAAGGGATTTCCCAACCACTATGATGTCATCCAGGTACACTAAACAGGTAGTCCAGGATAGTCCCTTTAACACAGACTCCATTAGTCTCTCAAAGGTAGCTGGCGCGTTGCACAATCCAAAAGGCATGACGGTAAATTGCCACAGTCCGGAGCCCACCGAGAACGCTGTCTTCTCTCTGTCTTTCGGCGCCAT